TCGAGAGTCAAAACAAAGGCAGGCATACATCCAGCCAGAGGACAGAAAAATAAATCTTCTGCTGGAACACTTAATCTCCTCACATTCTCCAATGAAACATTTCCCCTTCTTTGAGTTGCAGATGAGAGCTCATGAATCTGGAAGAGATTGCACACTCACAACTTCCATAGGAATGAAGGGCACATTTTGGAAAGAAATCTCCATGACATAGCCTCGGTTTTTCTTTTTTTCTCCCTTGTTAATGTTGTGCGTGAGCCTCAAAAGCACAGAGTTCCAGCTATAGTTACAGAGCATATCAGTAGCCCAGTGAATTCAGTCTGCTTTGTACTAGTCAGCTGTAAGGCTATAAAATAAGGAGCACATTTGTCTTTCTTCTGTTAATTCGAAACACATATTACAAATTCTTTGTAATTCTCACCAGATGATGGAGTTGTGTGTCTCAGCACTGCTGTATAAACAGAGCACCGAGCCACCTAAATGCACAAATCCTAAAATAAATGAGCCTATGTGAGTGACTATAACTAATTCAAGGAAAGGAATAGAATACTTGGCAGGGTGCATGAAATCAACATCTTTCCGGGACTAAGAGGGTGGAAAAATGAAAAAATAAATACTTCAGTGATAGACTGAAGTTATTTAGGCCAAACCAGTGTTGATTTGTATAAAATATGACCTGTTTTTTTTTTATAATATGGATAAAAATATAAAGTAGACTTCTGAAATTCTATTTTCAGTTGATCAAATTATTGTGCATGAATCAAAATTGGATTGCCCTTATTCAATTTCTTGTCGGTTTAAAGTTTATTCTCGCAAACCCAAATTCAGCCTGGATTTCAATGAACAGGTAAATCTTGTATACATTATGCTAAAGCCCAACTGAGCTTTCATTTTTAATCAACTAAATACATTAAAGGTGTATCAAAACAAAATGTATGCAAAGTGTCACAGTTCGTTTTATTTAAAAAGCAGCCAAATTCCAAATAGAAAAGGACATGTTGGAATACCACAAGAACGCAACTGCTTCCATAAAGAGAGGAAGTGCCTTTCTCTCCAGCACGCTGACAGGAGACAGGCTTTACTACTCAGGATGTGGCTGCTTTTAAAAGAAAATGAACAACCCAGTTAACTCATTGCATATCTTTACTTTCCAGTAAACAATAAAATCTTGTCCACCAAGGTGAATTTATAAATGGCATGGTGGACAAGTGGTTAAATCAAGCTCACAGCTACTACTACAGCTCTGAGATTGATGCAGGTTTTAAGAGCCAGTAAAGGGCTTTCTCCAGAATCACTTTTATTGGGCAAAGTGAGCCTTCCCACCAGTGGCTCCCCCAGAAAGATCCATGGAACAATCGAAAACACCTTCTCCAGCAAGAGTAAGAGGAAGTTGGTGAATATCCGTTCCCCGTTTCCGATCTTATTTAATGGTATATCACTATAAAGCATGAACAATCCTGAGGGGGTGAAAACATTTATAGGAATTGCAGAAAAACACACAAAATGGCAGTTTTACATTTTTAAATGTAACAGGGAAAGTAAAATAAATTGGTCATCGTATTTTTTTTAGCATCCTTGTTAAAGCAGTAAACCCCACTTTGCAACTTTTATCTACAGGTAAGCTTTTAACCACTTCAAGTCCGGACACTTTTACCCCCTTCCTGTCCAGGCCAATTTTCAGCTATCACACTTTGAATGACAATTGCGCCGTCATGCAACACTGTACCCATATGAATTTTTTAGCATTTTTATGAGACAGATAAAACTTTATTTTTGTGGTATTTATTCACCTCTGGGATTTGTATTTTTTTTGCTATATAAATAAAAAGTCCAAACATTTTGAAAAAAAGTGTTTTTCTTATACAATTTTGCAAATAAATAATCTTTCTTCATAAATCTTGGCCAAACTTTATTCAGTTATATTTTTAGTAAAATAACCAAAATTAGTTTATAACCAAAAATTATAATTAACAAAAATGTGTTTTTACATTTCTATTTTTTATATGTTTTTTTTTTAACACACCGTCACTCTAGCAGTACAGTGTCACCATAGTGACCCTGTACTACTTGTGGGGGATGATGAAGATTTTTTTCTTTGTTTACACTGATTGCTTTTACACCCATAAAGGCTGTAAACGCAATCATTTCTCCTTCTCTCTGGCTGCATTCTTGCAGCCATTGAGAAATACTGTGAGAGCTGTGATTGGTCACAGCTTGTCACGTAGTACAAGGCTGTTGTGATTAGCCTTGTACCATGTGATCTCTGTGATCATTCACAGATTGCACACATAGTAAGCAATGATGTCAGAAGTGACAACTTGCTTACTATTCTTCATGCGATCACTGATTGGCCAATCAGTGATCACATGATCGGGAGCTCACACAGAGGTCCCGTACAGCGATCGGTGTCCTCCAGACACAGCGGGCACCGAACTCCCAGGGAGCGCACACAAGCAGGGAAGCGGGGAGGATGTTTATTAACGGCCACCCGCCTCTGCACTGTTCCCGTCCAGCCGTTTATATACATGGGCCGGACGGGAAGTGGTTCATAAAGCTTACCTGTAGGTAAAATGAATATCTCCTAAACAGGCACCATTTAGGAGATATTCACATGTTTTGCAGCCGTTGATGTCACCGACGCATGCGCACTACACTCTGAAGGGATGGCATACATGGTCATGGCTCCCGTGCACATGACATCATCATGGCTCGGCCTTTCAAATGGCTGGAGCCCGTGAACCTGGAAGGAATACCGGTTGAAGATGGAAGCCCTGTCAACGTGCCACTGGAGGGCTCAATGCATTCAATGCATACTAGCACATTTATGCCATTACCTTGCAGGAGGCCCAGCTTTTCATTTTTTTTTCTGCATTTACTACCACTTCAAGTTACAGCTGTGTGAAATTCAGGTTTAAAAAAAAAAAGAAAAAGACAGTATATCATCTTGCACGCCATGTGTAACCTAAACAGTACATAATTTGCCTTTGTTATTTGTTAAGTAAGCTTTTTATAGACACAGATAGAAACACTGAGGCCCAAATGTTGCACTGTGTATTCTAAACAGGATGCTCAACATGAATATATATTGGGACAGCATGACTGCATGCATGAACATAAATAAGTAGAAATAAGGTTTCTATATCGGGTCAATATTTTTAAGGTGATCATCTTGAATTCCACAGTATATGTAAAAAAGTTTTTTTAAAAATCCAAACAGTAGAACTAGTACAGACATAACATATTAATAATTACTATATTATGCCAAACTTACTGAGAATTTCCTCTCTTCTCAATAATATTTTTATGTGAGTACAGTTAAAATCTTTTACTACTCATGCATGTGCAAACAGTTCATTAACAGGCTCTGAACATTGGTCGGATAATTTTTGACTTAACCCAAATATTCCTCCCGATATTGGAAGCATACACTTGTTAGAAATATTGCTGAGAGAGAGTTTTTTTCCACACAAAATGATACAGGCCTAGATTATAATTGAATTGTACAGTTCATACATGATTGGTTGTAATCTTGCAGTCAACTTTTCCCAAGTTGGATCTGGTCCATGCAAGTTGAATTCTTTCACCCACCGATACTTTTTCTGATTTTTATTTTAAGACCTATACAAGAACAAACTTTGTAACATGCACCAGATGTACAATATGGCTCCCAAACTATTAATCATAATGTATGCCTTTTTTTTTGCTAATATAAATCCAGAGATGGGTCCAGGTTTCAGGACAGCAATGTTGAGCAATATACAATACATGATTTATAAAATCTCACATAGAAGATGAATATATTTATGCATTTTTCATTTTTTACCATTAACATTTTATTTCTCTTTCCATTTTGTTGTTGTACTCTGCATCAATATATGAAAATTTAGCTCTAGTAGATATGTTGTCAAATGTAACAAGCAATTAACAAAGGCTAAAACAAACCTCCATAAATAAGGATCCAGGTACAAAAAATTAGGAGCCACTAGCAAGGGGTCTGACAGTAACTTCTGGGGAAAAAAGTACAGATTTTAATCTTTTTGAGGGCTTCCTTGTGAATTGGCAATCTCTCTTCCCTATTATTCATCTCTCTACTTTATTTTAGTGTAAACATATCTCTTCCACTGGTGTTCATTGCTACATAGTTGTATGGTACAATGTGCTTTTCCACTGTTTTTTCTAAGGCCTCAAGGGACAGTAACAATAATATTTCATTATTTTTATTTAAAAAAATTATCTGGTTGACTGTGGACTGACAGATTTCCAGATATTTACAATTTTCCAGTGTTATGAGCTTTTTAAACAAAAAATATTGTGCAGTTTACCAATTTTTAGGTGCGATGACTGTCTTAGTTTTTTTATGCTTTTTTCCCTGTGTTTTCAACTGGTGATCCCGCCATTAAGTCTGTTTTTTTCCTCTTCCCTTAATAGACCAATCTGTCAAGCACTAATGGCAGTTAAAGAGTTGATACAAACCATTTACTGCTGACAGGGGAGTTTACAAGGGTCAACTTGTATGCATTTATGTAAGACCGTTATCTCAACATTATATAAACAAACTGTTCATGTAACTATGTAAAAGTGTCAGCTGAAGGCTGGAGTTTGGCTTTAATTTGTTAGTCACGTCTCTCTAAATCTGTTAGTGCATCTAACAATACCCTTTCCACAGATTGGCAGTACTTCTGTCCAAAGGTGTCTCCATTGTTCCTCTATTCAGAATGGAGACACCCTAAGACAGGAAAGGACTTACTGGCCAGATCACTAGTTTAAAACAGTGGAAAAAATTAGTCTGTACAAGAAATCATATGTAGCCACCACATTTAAAGATTGGTAAGCTGCAATATATGTATTCTTTGTTTTTGGGTTTAATACCACTTTAACCACTTCCCGACCACCCTATAACAGAGCTACAGGATGACAGGGCTGCAGAAAATCACGTATATATACGTGATTTTGCACTTCCAGGTAGGGGCTGTGCACCACCCTACCTGCGCTACCATTGGCAGCTACAGCTGTTGAGTATCACTAACAGGGGAGAGACCTGTGTGTAAACAACACAGGTCTCTCTCCTGCCAGCAGTAACATACTGCTGTGTATTTCTCTGCACAGCAAACAAATACACAGCAGTAAGTTACCCAAGTAAAACACACAGCACACACAGTAAAACAGCACACAACACACAGTTAACCCTTTGATCGCCCCAGATGTTAGCCCCTTCCTGCCCAGTGTCATTAGTACAGTGTCAGTGCTTTTTATTAGCATTGATCACTGTATTAGTGTCACTGGGGATGTCAGTGGCAGTTAGTCAGTTCCCCCCAGTGTCAGAATGCCCTCCACAGTCCTGCAGTCGCCCTATAAGTCGCTGATCGACGCCATTACTAGTGTACAAGAAAAAAAAAATTCCACTATATATACCGCCGTTTGTAGACACTATAACTTTCATGTAAACCAATTAATTTGCATGTCCTGGGATTTTTTTTTTAGCAAAGACATGTAGCAGAATACATTTTGGCCTAAATTTATGAAGAAATTTGATTTTCTTTTTAATTGTTGGACTTTTTGTTTATAGCACAAAAAATCAAAAATGGACAGCTGATCAAATACCACCGAGAGAAAGCTCTATCTGTGGGGAAAAAAATACATAAATTTAATTTATGTACAGCGCTGCATGACTGCACAATTGTTAAAATAATGCAGCGCCATATTGCAAAAATGGTCAGGAAGGGGGGTAAATCCTCTGGAGGGCAAGTGGTTAAAGTATATTTCCACTTATGCCACCAAACTGGGATAACAGCTGCTTTTTATGTATTTCATGTTCTCATTTACATAGCATAATGTAAAAAAAAAAAATAGTCAAACATTTCAGTTTACTTTTTCTGGAAATTCTAGCGCTGAAAAATCCTGTAGTTCTCTTAGTTTATGAGGGAGCTAGGCAGCTGTGTTTTACATATAACCCTGTCTATGCAAGCAGATCTTCAATATGAGTTGTCTCCCAGATTGTAAGCTCGAAAAAGCAGGGCCCTCGAACCCCTATTGTATTGTCTTGTTACTGTATTGTCTCATGTTCTGTCCCCCCCACTATAATGTACAGCGCTGACAAACCTTTTTGGCGCTATATAAATACTGTATAATAATATTAATACACTAGATTTGAACACTATTTTTCCTAACAAAGCATAAAGGTTTAGAAGCTTGGCTTCATTGTATGTTAATGAGGACAGACTTAGGACAGACTCACTGTGAAATGTTTCAGCAGTACTTGCAGTCAGCCATGAGAACTTCTCTTGAGAAAGTTCTAAAAAGTAAGAAATATTAAAATAAAATTACGAATGCTGTAGTGGGAACACACAACAAACCTATAGTGGGATTTTCTAAAATTTGACTGCAAAGCCGAAATATGCTTTAAGTGGTATACTTTCCGGGTTCTCTGAAATCTCTTTTGATTAAGCCATATTGAAACAATGTATTTGATCAGTAAACAGATGTTACTGTAAAATGTTTGCACAGTGCTTTACAGTATAAAGTGGGACAGTACAATTACATGCTCATGGAACTTACAGTCTTTATAAAAAATCATTACTTTTTAGTAGCTGTTGATGCAGAATCCACAACTATTTTACCAAAATGTAATTGCAACTTTAATTGGCAAAGAAGGTTTGAAATGTAATAGAGCGGTGTTATAGTCACAATCATGCTAGAATAAATAATATTCCATTTTGCTTTGAAAATACCCGCTGGGGATTTTTAAAGTTTGCACGTGTGGACACTTGAATTTATTCAGATATAGTCAATATATAATTTAAATGGTTGACTCAAATACAAATGTGGCCAACATATTCTCCAAATATACAGCAATTTACAAGTAGAACTGTTGATGGGTGGTCACACTAAAACAGATGTAGCTTGCAAAGGTTTTAGGGTTGTCTCTGGCCACACACTGATCCCCCATAGACTATTAATTTTTATAGCATCCTTTCTGTAAGAATGCACTTATACATGTATGCATGTGACCCATCTGGTGAAAAGTATGCATAAGATGTCTTGTTTTTAAATCGAGATTACTTGCTCTTTATATATACAGTATATTTGTTATGTATTTTAGTTATCAAGGCTGATGTGGTAGCACAGAATACCAATTTTTCAGCAAGTAGGGAATTATTATCGGTCATCATTTTACAGTATCTTGAATTTAGTTATACAACTGAAATCACTTTCTTTGGGTTCTTCTGTCCATTAACATTGCTGTTTCACATGGACAATATCCAGCACTTCTCATAAAACCAAAGTTATGTCAGTTATGTATTAAAATACATAAAGCTGTCATAACTTTCCTGAAAGTGAATTCTTACTGTTGGATGGAACCTGTTTACTACAAGAGTTGGCTAATTTATAGGTTTGCTACCACCTGCTCTTCCACTCAATCAAAAGACTAGAAGGACTATCTGTTACTGAGTGGGGAACTCAAGAGAGAGCTAAAATTCTTCCTGATCGTGACTCTGGCTACTGGAAGTCAAGGCTTTGCCTTGTGATATATTTAGGTTGGAATAAAGTTTCAGGTTGGCTTATTTCAAATTTTCTCAGCCTACATGAAAAATATGCAGCGAATCGAAGCCAAATGAAAAGACTCAGACATAGTAACTTTATTATGGTCCATGGTGTCTTTAGTGCTAACAGTCTTGAAATGTATTAGTGGGAAATACTAATTGTGGGAAAGAGTAGGATTTTTACTGCTTTGCTTGTCATCTATATAATAAAATACTTTAATGTAAAGTATATGTAACTGTAGTCCTTTTTTAAAGGACTTTTAAATTAAAGCTAAATGTCTTCAGTAGTATGAAATCCAATTATAATGTACTTACTGGTTACATCATATTTCCACTGGTACTTTTAAGAAGACATAAAACTTTTTGTTGCCAGTGCACACCAGAGCCGAAGACATCTTTGGTTTGCCAGCGTGTCTCTCTTTCTGGAGTCTCATATACCTAATGTGTTATTTCTCATGAAAATGTCACCCTTGTGCAAGAAACACCTCTCCATGTAATATTGGTATGTGATTTACATTGGTCAGGATGGAGAGCAGTGTCAAATTGCCTATCCATCCCCCAGCTAACTGAATCTTTTGTTTTATTTCTCCCATCAGCTAATCCGCACACAGTTATTATTTTTTGTTCCACTTCCCCCTACCTATTAGATTGTAAGCTCCTAGGAGCAGGGCCCTCCTAACTCCCTTGTTTTGAGTTTTATTGTAACTGTACTCTCCCTTTATAATGTAAAGAGCTGTGCAAACTGTTGCCACTATTTAAATCCTGAATAATAATAATTGAAATGTGCAGTTTGCTGATACAGTGCATGCTAGCTCTGCACCACCACTACTGAAACTAAAAGTGAATAAAGTAATTGGTGATGATGTGACTGGTTATATGGGAGAAAGCAAAATGTTCCCAATGTACACGTTCCTGAAGGGGGCTGTAAATGTAAGTGAGGGCTGCAGCAACCACCATCTGGAAATCAAAGACATTCAAACCAAGAAGTATGTCACCAGCACACCAAGGACCCCAAAATAGGTCCAAAGCTTTATTCAGCTTTCACATCAAAGTTACAAAAGTGACATTTTGGAGCCTTGCAAGACCTCTTCGTCAGGCAGGTGACATTACATGCCTAACGAAGAGGTCCTGTGAGGCTCTGAAACATCACTTTTGTAACTATGAAGTGATTGCTGAATAAAACTTTGGACCTGTTATGGAGATCCATGGTGTGCTGTTGACGTACTGGTCATATGGGAGGGAAACCATCCTAACACTGCCATTGTGAGAGTAGTGGCCACTGCTTAAGGGGGAATGAGTGACATCACCCTGGCAATGTGACATTCACGTACCAGTACACCAACTATGCCAAGAATGATGCCTGAGCTTTGCATGTGAGTTACACTTTACTCCTGCAAAACGTGCTGTTTTTTAAGCATCTAGATTATCAGTCTACAGTTCTTCTTTAAACAATTTTTGTTTTACTTACTCCTAAGAAATCCCCAGAAGATTTAATCCAAAATAGTTTTGGGTTACAAAACTCAGTGAGTTCATACATAGAAGTCATTCAGTTTATCTCCATCTTTGTTCTCTGTTATTTACTGCCGTAAGAATCCAGATCGCAACTCACAGTGTCCCTGGCAATGTCCTCCATCACATTTATAATTAGACTGTCAAAGGTGAGACACCGCAAGGGGCCTGCAGTGGGGATCACTATGTTACTTAAAAAAGAGCCATGATTAATGCTTTACACCATTACCAGGATGAAACACAGAAATACTCAGCAGGTAAGCTGCCCTGCCTGCATGTATCTTAAGGCTTAATTTTCAGTTATGACAGCAGTGAAAATGTATAATGCAGAGTTCTGTGAATAACTTTAAAGCTTTACCTCTGTCAAAAATTTAAATACACAGATTAACTGTATATGGGAGTCCTTTACCTGCTAAATTTGTATTTATTTCTGTAAATTCAGTCTCAAGGTTTACACAGTTTTGCTACACAGAAAACCCAGTCTGGCAGGCAAACTTACCTTTCTTTGTTGCACTTTCACTTTCTCTTACAGATCCCCTTCCCACCTCCACTCTGCGACTGGATGATAAAAGAAAAATCATTACAGTTGTGAGCTCATCTCTCTGTCACTCTCCTTTCTCCTTTGCAAGCATAGTCCTGGCACTGCAGCACACCTGATTGGCTACTCGTGCTGGTCCCTAACTCCCTGAGCTTTGCTGTACAGTAAATTGCAAGAGGCAGATACCAAGTCAAAATCAATTACTTATGCTGGTGCTGTTAAACAAATACACAATACATTAATACAGAGCTGCATTATTAATATTTGGGGTTTTCTTAGATCTTCCTTGAGTTCAGCTTTAATTTTTCTTCAAATATGGGCAGTGCCGGATTTATAAAGGGGTAAAAAGGGGCAGTTGCCCCAGCCCCCTTTGTCAGAGAGAGCCCTAGACTGCCTTTATAAAAAAAATGATAATTATAAAATTTGTTTTAGTACTCTGTGTGAACTAGCTATCAACTGCAGTGTCCTCAAGATGATCCAGTTTGATGAATTAGTTGAAGATTTAGCAAATGCTAAGCACAGGAAGAAAGACTTTTTGTAAATATTGTAGTGTGATGCACTGTGATGTAAGACTTGCCAGTTCCAATTACCTGTGCAATGAGTATTCTTATATTCTGTATAAATACATATTCATACAGTCAATAAAATTAAGAAATACAAATCTGAAAAGTGTCTTCTTCAGAAACTAACACATATATATATATATATATATATATATATATATATAAAATATATATTAGAACAAATGCAGTT